ATATATATATATATATATATATATATATATGTGTGTGTGTGTGTGTGTTTTCTACTAATTATAATTTAATTGTTTATCTTTCAATAATATTTTAATCTTGTAAATCTACTCGCAATTCAGTTGTTTTACTGAAATGAGTTTTGATAATAAAAACAGAATGAATGAATGAATGAAAATGTTGTAATCACATTTGTTAGTTCAAGTTCAGTTAAAATATTGAGCGTCTTTCTTGCCATTTTTAATTAAATCTCAAATTACACTAGACTTCGAAACAGTCGTCGAAAAAATGTTTTATCTACATGTTGTCACATGGAAAACACTTTCGGTTTCCTGTAAGCGCACAACAACAAATGTCACTGCAGCATAAATTTGGTAACTGCTGAATGAATTTGGACACTACTTAATGAGTTTGGTTACTGCAGCATAAAGTTAGTAACTTTATTTATTTTATTTATTTATTTGAACATACACCTTTGAATCGGTGGCACTCAATATCAATTGGTGCGTTCATACAAACAAAAACAAAAAAGGGGAAAATTTAACAAACAAAATAAATAAAAATCGACTATAAATAATATTACAAAATTAAAGAAAGGTAGAAAAATAACATATGAAATTAGATGAGATCACATTTCACATCGCATTTCATACTCAGAAATATTTACAGGTCAACTGTAAAGTAAATGCTTAAAATAACTAACCTACAAAATATAAAATCTAAAGATGAAAAAGTCTTACAACAAAAAGATAATACCAAGGTAGACCTACTAAACTTAAGGAATACAGACTACGATGTAGAGTCCACTTGTGGTAAGAAAAAAAAAATACAATTACACAATTTGATAAGCAATGATACATTTACAGTAAACTATTGTTGTGAATTTTTTAGTTGTGAGCGTTTCTCCCAAGCATTCATGATGTATTTTTTACAGAAATTATCAAAAATAGAGGTTAGATTCATCACAAATAAAAACTGAATCTTTTCCTAATACATATTGAAGTTTAATATCGTCATTTGTTGTTGAAAAAGTGTCCATGTATCATAATCGTTACAAAGTAGAAGGTCATTTTCAAGATTTGTTAAATGTTGTTTTCTAACGATATTATAAGCGGGACAATTTAGTAAAAAATGCTTGACATCTTCAATTTCTCCACTTTCACATAGGGTGCAAATGCTTGAAACATCATTTGACCATTTACACGTTTTACAATCAAGGGGTAGTGTATTAGATCTTAATTTAAAATTTAGGCTTGCCCCAAGAAAATTTGTTTTGTCCAACAAATATTTTTGTAATTTAGGAGAAACTTGAAGTCTTGAATAATTAATTAATGAAGGTTTTTGCAATAATTTATTTGACCACTCTGATTTATACCATTCTGATACATCAGGTTCTACAATATTGACAGAGAAAGAATTACACATTAAATTATCAAAATCAAAAACATGATTATAAAAATCAATATCAGGACATTTTGCAAAAGTATCTACACAACTAATAAGAAATTTATATTTTAAAATATTAAAGTCGCATTCAAGTTGAAGCATACATTTAAGCACTATATTAGGCCACCTGTAATTTTCCATGTTAATAAAGCGATTAAACAATTTAACTCTGGTCACTTCATGTGTTTGAGATAAGGGGACCCATCCTAAGTCTCAATAAAGAGCCTCTTTGGGTGTATACCGAGGGGCTTTTAAAAGAAAACGGGCCATTTGAATTTGTACTTTCTCCAGATCCTCAATATCCTTCTCGGATTTGTTAAACCAAATGCTACATGAATAATTTATCGATGGAAGTGCAATAATCTTCCATAAAATATTTCCATAATAAACACGATTAAAGTTATCTAGATTAGCTATAATACCTTTAATATAAGCAATAAGACGATTGCCCTTTTGAATTACATGCTGATATTGAGTACGCTCACTTAGGTTTGAAAAGATATAAACGCCTAAATATTTGTAGCTGTTTACCTCACTTATAAACTTGTTGCCTAATTTCCATTCTTTATTATTATTAATTCTTTTCCCAACGACCATAATATTGGATTTTTCATGATTAAAACCTAACTTCCATTCCTTGGCAAATCTACTTGAAATTTCTAACATTTTTTTCATTTCATTTTCACTATTAGCTATTAAAACTACATCGTCAGCCCAAAAGAGCCCTCCCATCCAAATACCATTCATAGTCACACCTAAGTTGCTTTCACAAAGAAGTTTAAGAAATTCATTAATAAATATTGAAAATAAAATGGGAGAAAGCATGCATCCTTGTTTAACGCCTTTATGAATTGGAAATTCCTTAGTCATATTTTCCCCAATTTTTACTTTAGATTTAACGTTGTCATATAGTGAACTAATGATTCTCCAAATTTTGTCCTCTTATGCCTGCATCCCACACACTGTCAAATGCTTTTCGGAAGTCCAGGAAGGCTAGATACGTAGTTTTATTATAACTGCTGAATGAATTTGGTCACTGCAGCATGAATTTGGTCACTGCTGAATGAATTTAGTCAATGCTGAATTAATTTGGTCACAGCAGCATGAATTTGGTCACTGCTGAATGAATTTGGTCACTGCTGAATTAATTTGGTCACAGCTGAATGAATTTTGTCACTGCTGAATGAATTTGGTCAATGAAAGTTTAAAAAAAAGTCACTGCATTATGTATTTGGTCACCGCAGCATAAATTTGGTCACTGCTGCATTGAATTTGGTCACTGCTGAATGAATTTGGTCACTGCTGAATGAATTTGGTCACTGCTGCATTGAATTTGGTCCATGCTGCATTGTAATGCTCACTGAAGGCACTCCCGGCGTTCCATACAGGAGGAGCGAGATGTCGCTGCAGCCGATCATTGGTTGTCGTTTGTTATTCCTTCGAACCATTTGTAAACATTGCTTCTCTCCAAATAGAATCAGGAAACCTACATTCATATATACCTGCAAAATGGTATGGAATAATTTGAGTTTCCGTTTTTAAACTCTCAGTCTGAGATGCTGGCCTAGGCCCTAGCTGGGCCCTAGGCCTATCTTTCTATAGCCAAGGCCCTAGCTTTGCAGCCGGCCCTCCTTGCCTTGGCTTGGCCTAGGCTACTAGGCCTACCTAGGACAGTTAATACGTTTTCGCATCCGGCCGTAAAATTGATTAACATAATTATCTGATAATAATTGGATTACGAAAGTCAAATCATCAAAGAACATATTATTGTTATTGTTGAATTTGTTAACCGTTTTCAGGGGTCTAGGCTAGGGCCTAGCTAGAAGGCTAGGACCTACTACAGCAGTAGGCCTCCTTTCCTTAGGCCTAGGCTAGCTAGGGGTTTAAAAAAAATATATCCTTCAATTGTCTTTAAATATAGTTAACACATTAATTCAATGGAAAGAACAGGCGCTAATGCACTTTAGTTAGTACTGTAACACTTCTATCTTCAAAAATAGTATTTTCACCTACTGTGCGCTACTAATATGATTTTTTATCCAGTTCTGCCACTAATAACGCCAGATTTTAGCAATTTTTATTACTAAAACCACGGCTTCAAATGCCTAAACTATAGCTCCATCCTTCGTCTCTATGTTCAGTGACAATATGATGGCAAATTGGTGATCGAGCCTAATTCTGTTGCTAGAATTCAAACTTTATATGTGTTGGTGTTGCCAGAATTAGTAAATCAAGATCAAGCATCAGATTCTGAACTTACCTGTAGAGCGATGAGAAGTTCTATGCCTCGTGAGAGAAGGGAAAAGGAAGGCAGCAAAAACATGCATACATTATTTAATGAAAGAATGTATAAATAAATAAATATATGAAGGTTCTAAATGCAAATGTCCTGGGTGTAATAATGGCCATGATTGAAAAATGATTGATTGATTGATTTATTAGGTGAGTAAGTAAGTGAGTGATTGTTTAGGTGGGTGGGTGAGTGAGTGACTGACTGATTGGTTGATTAATTGATTGATTGATTTAATAATTAATAATAATAATGATTTGATTTGAGTTTATTCAGAAAATCATTGCACAATTACGTTGAATCATTGGTAAAAGAAAAACTTATAGGCCTAATAAAAAATTAATATCAAAACAGAAAGCACAAACAGTGATAATGATATTTATAATGTTAATAATAATAATTATGATGATGATGCTGTTATACTTATATACCGCAAAATACAGGAGCTTTGATGTGCTTGGAATTATATTATATTATATTATATTATATATATATATATATATACTATATTACTTTGTTGTGTCACAAACTTTCTTAATTAGACGTGCTAATCCTTATTACAGTAACCCACGGAATATGAGCCTCCGCACAATAGCAATCCTTTACACTCTTATTGTGATAGTATAAAGTTAGTTTACATTCTTTACTAAAACAAGTTATTTGTTGAAATAAATATAACTGTCATGGATTTCTATCAAAAATACATTCATATAATAAAAACTAGAATTAATAATGTGAACTCATTATCCTTGCGTAGCAACAAAGGGCTACTCTCTCACTTAAGCGAAGCGTCTGCGGAAGACGTTACATAACATGATCAAGATAAACATATTAATTATCAATAAGTCAACGTGAATGTGATGTCAAAGTTCACAAGTAATTGTAATTGCAAAGAGGCGTCCTACACTGCGTTATTACAGAATTTGCTCGCAGAAATCATGTGAAAGAAAATTTATTTTCTTTGTTTATATTTTATATTGTTCATGGGCTGTCTCTTATACACATGGATCTGGGACAAGGGGTTCGCGTTGAGACAAAGTTCATTACCAAGTACGTTAATTGTTCTAAAGAGAAGACGCATTGTAAACCCTATCCCAGATCCATGGCAACGACTAGGACGCCCTCTCTCAAAAGTGCACAACCCCAAAAATAGTGGAAACGCTATCTTGTTAGTATAAGATCAAGGCAGTTAAGTTGTGAGGGTTGTCAAAGATCTTATAAACACAAGATAGCTTTCTCCGCGATTTCCGCATGCAAATTCTGTAATAACGCATGAACGGTCCCACTTGCTAAATTGAAAACTTTTGAACCTTGACCGCTCTGACCATAGCGTACGCCGCGCGACTTTATGTTTACGTGTAACAATTGGGCTATGTTCAGACACAACTTATGCTAGCGTAACGTAAATCAAGTAGTGTGAACTTGGGCGCGTCGTAGCGAACGCCAGTAATATCGCACAATCACTAGCGTACGGTAATCCAGCAACAGACCCCAGATTAGCGTACGCCACTGATTTACCACAGTCACGCATCAGTAATTTTGAACTCAGTCAGGATTTGACCAATCAAAATAAGCCTAGATGTAAACAGGAACTGAAATGCTCGAATTACGAATACGAATATTTCGCGCTAATACTTATGCTAGCGTTCGTTATTCGCCCAGTCTGGACATTTCGCTAGTTACGCCATGGATTAACGTACGCCCAACGTTAGATACGCCTGGCGTATCTCTCAGGTCTGAACGTAGCTTTAGAAGCGTCCGATTTACAATTCGCCCAATCTTTAGAACATAAGGAACAAATTAACGTACTTGGTAACAAACTTTGGCGTAATGCGAACACCCTTTCTTAGATCCATGTCAACGACTAGGACGCCCTCTCCCAAAACTGATTACTTTTTTGTGCCAAATCGATGCTTCTATTTGTTACGCGTAAAATCGCGGAGAATGCTACTGGTGTTTATAAGATCTTTGACAACCAACACAACTTACTTTTCTTAAAGATCTTATAAACACAAGAACAAATTGAAGCGTCGATTTGGCACAGAAAAGTAATCAGTTTTGGGAGAGGGCATCCTAGTCGTTGCCATGGATCTGAGATAGGGTGTTAGCGTTACGCCATAAGTTAGTTACCTAGTACTTATGTTCTAAAGAGAGGGCGCATTGTAAATCGGATGCTTCTAATTGTTACGTGTAAACGTAAAGTCGCGCAGCGTATGCTATGGTCAGAGCGGTCAAGGTTCAAAAGTTTTCAATTTTGCAAGACGACGCTTTTCATGCATTATTACAGAATTTGCATGTGTAAATCGCGGAGAATTCTTTCTTGTGTTTATAAGATCTTTGATAGAAAGTAATTGTAATTAAGAGAGGGCGTCCTAGTTGTTACTATGGTGGTTGTTTCAGAATAGATGCATCATAGATGTCAAAGTTCACAAGTAATTGTAATTGCAAAGAGGCGTCCTACACTGCGTTATTACAGAATTTGCTCGCAGAAATCATGTGAAAGAAAATTTATTTTCTTTGTTTATATTTTATATTGTTCATGGGTGCACCTTCAAAGTGATGGGTGCCACTGATCTGAAAGTGAACCCAATAAATCGTATCGTATTGCGGAGAATGCTATCTTGTTATTTTAAGATATTTGCCCTAAAGGTTCTAAGTGTAATAATTTTTGGGTCTAAATGTAATAATTAGGTCCAAAGTGTAATAATCTTTGGGTCTAAATGTAATAAAGGTTCTAAGTGTAATAATTTTGGGTCTGAATGTAATAAAAGGTTTCTAAGTGTAATAATTTTTGGGTCTAAATGTAGGTCCTAAACTTGTGTAATAATTTTTGGGTCTGAATTTAAAGGTTCTAAGTGTAATAATTTTGGTTCTAAATGTAATAGAAAGGTTCTAAGTGTAATAATTTTTAGGTCTAAGTGTCATAAAGGTCCCAAGTGTATTTTTTTTTCAAATGCAATAAAAGTTATCCTAAGTGTAATAAACATAATTAAGTTTTCTAAATGTATCTATAATGACCATAAATATGGTCCTAAAAGCATCATTGACACCGAAACATTTTTGGATGCGAATTTGATGTGAATGCACCTTCAGTATGTAATAGCTGTTGGCCCTAAATTTAATAAATGTCATTATTGTACTAGAATATTTAATAACAATGGGTAAAACAATTAATATTAATAATACTAAATAATAATAATGAAAAGTATCGCTTTACAAAATGAAAACAATAACCTGGCAACGAAAAGAGCTGTTCTTAAAATGTTCTTAACAACCTGGCAATTAGTTATTTATAAACAACAAACATCGCGAGTCGCGAGGAATACAACGTAGTCTTAATAAATGCTAAAAACCGGCGTTATTAGTGGCAGAACTGGATGAAAAACCATTGTCAAATATCGTTAGTAGCGCACAGTAGGTAAAAATACTGTTTTTGAAGATAGAAGTGTTACAATACTAAAGTGCATTAGCGCCGAAAGAACACATTGAAAAAGTCGAAATCATTTTCATGTCACTTCATCATCCCTGTATTTACAATTTAGTTAATAATAATATTTGCTCGAACTCAATAAAATCTATATATTATTATTAATTCTGCTAAGCGCCACTGTGTAACTTCCCCTATCTCCTTATGAAACCGCTGGTAGGAATGTGCTCATATCTCATACACTAGGGCTTCTATTTGTCACGACCACATTCCGCTACTTTTTAAGGCTGGATATTGGATAACAACGAAAAAACAGCCAAAAACACCGAAAATCAGTACCGCGGCTAGTAACAGCAGCATTAATAGTGCGCATACATTCCTGAATTGGCGGCGTACAAAGAATCAAACTATGTAGGTGACTGACCTTGTGTCTGCTTCTCCCAATAGCTGTCTCTTATACACATCTAGATGTGTATAAGAGACAGCATCAACGCAGCAGAATGCAATGGAGCTATTAGCATCAAAGATGATGGAAGCTCAGGATCGACAAAGTAATGCTCTGCTAAAAATTGTACAGCAACAACAAAGTAGTGTGACAGCTCTCACACTACCAAACCCATCGATGAAGGTTTACAGTGGTAACCCAGCCGATTACTGTGAGTTTGTCACAGCATTCCGACATTTAGTCGAAAATAAAACGACTAATCAAAGTGCAAGATTGCATTATCTAATTCAATACACTTCGGGTACAGTTCAAGAACTGATGCGAAGTTGCTTATCTATGAGTGATGAAAGAGGGTATCTAGCTGTCTCTTATACACATCTAGATGTGTATAAGAGACAGCACGTGATATCGTACACAGTGAATGTACACCGTGCAAGAATAAAGCATGTACATTTATGTTAATTCTACGTTGTTTACGCGTTTGATTCATTTCTACCTCTACCAGAACCGAAAATAGTAACGCACAGGGTGCAAGGTTACATCTATCATTATATTTTAATCTTGTACATTATACAAACCATAAAACCCAACCCTAAAAATACAGTTACTAATGAATGATTATTAAGGGGGTGCGGGGATGCGGGGATGAGACAAGTGGCCATATATTGCTTATTTAACCTTTCCTGAGTTCGGGAAAAATACTTTAAAAATTCAAAATGTTGAGATGTAACGATAATTACAGAAACAAAACATGACATGATGAGACAGGAAAATCAGGTGAAAACGAGGCTGATCACTTTTTTCAGTAGCTTGGTAGCATTTTTTAACCAACTCATTTTGGCGAGCAGCTATCAAAAAATCGTCCCGACGATCGAGCGACTAGCCTAGACAATACATACAGTACACTAGTGTGAAGTCGGTGAGTTTTTGTGATCATTTACGTACGCATACAGAGAGACGGTATAGTCAACGTCAATTCAATCATGGAGGAATAATTCAATTGAATTAATAAACGTATCAGTCCGATGACTTGTTTGTTTATAATTAGGCCTACACCTATGCCTAGGATAGCACAGTCAGTGTCCACCCATCAGCAGTAGTGCACTCCTGTCCGGGACACTGCTCCAGTCCCGCAGCAGATGAGTTCGCACGCAGCCTTATCCAGCTGACGGTAAAGTTAGTAGGTTTCTACTACTACTAGCCTAGCCTAGACTTGTCATGCCATGGCGACTTTGTCACATTAAATGTACTAATAATAGTATATTATAGGCCTAGTTAATTATAGGCCTGGTCCTATGAAAAACTGTCTAGGCCTAGGCCTAAATGTCTAAAAAATGCACTGTCTAAATAAAGGTGATGTGCTATAACACTACAGTATATCACCAGAGCCAACACCAATTCCTGTGACAATAAGATTATTATTGATATACTGTAGGCCTAGAACCTAGGCTACACAACAATAATGCCCCATTAAATAATAACATGATGCATATGTTACTCCAAACCTAACTTTCAGCTATTGTTGAAATTTGGAATTCAAATAAAATATATACATATATATTTTTGTAGGACAATGCGATAGGCCGAAACATGACACTCTCCTCACATAGGCATTTGCCAGTCGCCATGATGAGACAAACATACCACAACATTTGCCATGAGTACAACTACCCAACATTGGCATCTACGACAGAAGGTGGTACAAAGCATACAAGCACCCAGCAAGACCGTCGTTAGCAAGAAACACTGGTTGTTTGCTGAAACTTGTAATGAAAGCTACACACAATTTAAGGTGAGCAAAAGAAAATTAATTGAATGTCTCATCACTGTTCAGCCAGAGTACATGAAAAAAATATATTGGAATGGTAAAAAAATATCAGCATGGTGTGTCAGTTTTATTAAGAAACAATAATACATTACACACTATCAGACAGGAAGGCTTCTATCAAGTAATTAAAAAAATCTGAAAATACTGTCAATTGATGAATGTCTTTTCAGATTAGTACATACAGTATCTCAGTATAGTATGTTATTGATAAAGCAGCAAATGCCAATGTTTGATAACACTTTTGATTTTTAACAAACCTGGTTTTGCATTTTTGTAACTACTGTATATTTATTCCTCAATAGGAGCAAATGACTGGCTCAAATGGATGTGATGCAAACAATTCCATCTGTGTGGACATAAAATAAAAAATAAATAAAATGGACATGTCCAATCCATGGTTAGCAGAAGGTGGCGATACTCGGAGCTCTGCAGCAAGCGATTGAGGCCAAAATATTTCAAAAGAATTAAATTAAAATGATTTATCTAGTGATTTTTTTTTCTGAAGATATACTGAAATGCCACACACTTAAGTTTTTGTTTTTTACGCATCTGGTTTATATTGCATGCCAAATTTATAATAAATAAATAAATACTGTACAAGTATTACTGTAACTTTTTCACTTGCAAAATATCTTTAATATTATTAAATGGTATTATAATCCCATTCAGTAGTAATCCTTTTGAAGCAAATATGTGACCCAGATTTAGAAAACAAATTGTGAGGATTAATTTGGAAATACTGTATGTAATGTGCGAAGTTGATAGTACAGTATGAAAATGTGGCTCAATGTATACAGGAACGACTATTTTAATGTATGGCTTTGTACAGTCTTGTGTAAAGTTATTCTACTTATTACTTTACTGCTTATTTTTTAATGCCTGGATTATGCCTATGTCTGCATGCTGATCAATTTGGTATTGGAATTTAAGAGAAAGCTTAAATTTTTTTGCTGTATTTTTTGTTTAGTATTTTAAAATACAGTAGTTGAACTTGCCTATGTCATATCCAAAATGCCATTGAGAAATTTATAGTTACTATAGTTTATACCAATGTAAAGAATAGGGAAGAACAAGTTACATTTATTTATTGTACACAAAATTCTAATTCATACTGTATTAGCTTAAAATTTTAAAATATGAGACGAGAGTGGGGAAGATACAAAAAACATTGTACTGTACTTAACGACAAAATGTTCTTGAAATAACTTTGCTGGCCTATCCACATCAATAGCAACAATTTAAATTACAGACTAGGTCTGGAAGGTTACACACAATTGACTGGTCCAGATATACAAAAGCTCTAGGCCTATGCTGACAAATTTTCCTTTCATGAGTGATGAGATTGTCAAAAAAACAGAGCACAGTTGTCACATGAATTGTCAAGAATGAATCTATTTACATAAGATCTGTTGCATTAATGAGTAATTATCTTCCATAACAATTTATAAATAATTCTTCCAACACAAAGTTTATCTCATCATCTTCTATATCATCAAAAAACCCAGGGCAGTCTTCACAGCTTCTGGGAACTTGTCCCTAATCGCCCACACAATGCAAGATGGGATGACCCTTCTGTCAGATTTCTTTAGCCTGTTAAACACCTACCAAAAATGAAAGCCATTGATAACCAACATGTCGGCATTTCCTGTAAGAAGAGAAGTACAATAAAAAGTTTGAACAGACTAGTTAAAAAAAAATCAGAGTGACTATTCTTACACCATTCAAAAATAATTAGTATTGATATTACAATATCTTTATAAGGAATTAATCATTCTGGCACTAATCATCAATGAAAATTTTTGTTGAAAATATATATATATTCTAATTAACCATCACACTGAAAAGTGCCCATATTCAAATGCATTGCAAAGTGGTGTAACATAGCCATGACCTAAACAATTATTTTGAATAGAATTTATTATTTCATTAATATAATACTTTTTTGTAATATAAAAAAAAAATTAGTTTAAAAATTACAAATCAAGACAATAACAATATATGTATAATAGACTATCTTGTTTCTCAATCTTTTCTAATGTACAGTAATAATAATTCCCCTGTATTTTGACCATCAAAATGGCTGGACATTTGACCCTCTACTAGTTTTTATCCCAGCA